TTGATATTAACAACTGCTAAGTAAATATCAAAGTAAAACTTATTTCCAACAAATCTCGTTGTACTTCATTCGCAGTTAAGGTGCACAAAAAACAGCACCTACAGAAATATTGGTTTCATCCTGTTTCGTATTAAATGTAGGACATCTTGTGTCAACAGTACCATCACCAACCACCTCCTAACCAATGCGTGTATCGTGTCATGAAATTTCCTGGATTCCCCTTAAAAATGTCTGCAAATTTATGCGTGTACTATTTCTTTCATGAACATGAAAAATTTTCGCCAAGAAACTTTCCTTACATAAATTTTACTTTTTCTACTGATGTCAATTTCTAGGATTTTGTCGAAAATTCATAAAATTTGAAATACAGAATTGTTAAAAACAGAACTTTAACGATTTTAAGATGCAACTTGCAGCGAACGTTGTTATTTTTAGAATTTCTGGAGATTAAGTTAAAAAAATTGATTTCTTTTTGTTGCTGCTAGGAACAATTCTTTTCCCCCAACTTAGGATCTTCTTATTTTGAGACATATTCAGTCTCAGGTGCATGAGTTTTGTAAGGGACGTTTTTAATCACTCGCGTGCGCAAACAGAAACAGAAAAGCTGGGCCGTGTTAAGTCCGGTTAAATCCAGTTTGCACATCTCAAATGATTTCCTTTTTAGTCTTGTGAATAAAATTATAAGATTTTATTCACAGGACATAAGACAAGTCTATATAAAAAAATAGATAATTAAATAATAAAGAAATGACCATCCTAAACAGAGGTCAGTTGAAATGTGGAAGTATTTTTCTCAGTCTCACTTGATCCATTTGTGCAGATCTAAAAGAAACTGAACATTGTTTAATTTTTCATTTATTCTTGGATTCCGGTTCAAATTCTACATTTCTTTTTCACTGCCTAAATTCTTCTCATCATCCGTTTTACCAACGACTACTCAGTACTGTCGCCATGCTTTGTCCTATAGGCAATTATGTTAGATTTCCCAGCATCCAATCAATAATATATATATATATATATATATATGTATATATATATATGTGTGTGTGTGTGTGTGTGTGTGAAGAAATATAGTTTTCAGGTGTACTATATTTATGGGATAAAGTTCTCAATATCAGAGATAGAGCGTGTGTAAATATAAAAGTGAACATTGAAGTCAACACTCAGAGGCGACAGGCTGTTTCATGCTAGGCGCAAATGTCAGGCCGCCCTGTCTTCGGATAGAGACTCGGCTAAGAAAAACAGATCAGTTCTGTTCCAGAGCCCGCTTTTGCGGGCGCTGGTTAAATTTTGACCAGTCGCCCGTGTAGAAAGGCTCGATTTCCCCACAGTAAACTTGGTCTTGTATCGCATCTAGTCCACAGTGAGGCGACCGTTAAATACCAGTCGTATCGGAGTCAGGCAATTCGCTGTGACAGACTTGTCGAAATCTCTTTCTACGGACAGAAAGGAACCCAAACGAGCCTATGTCTGCGGACAGAGTCTCCTCTGGAGAGGTAGACAAACCCAATCCCATGTATGCGAGATCTAAGGGGGAAATTTTGCCGGAGCCTACGGGCTCAGAATCGTCCCGCATAAAAAACCAACCTTCTGTTGCATTTCTCCTTGTGGGGAGGATTGGTTAAATACTAGTCGGTTCGGAGTCAGTCCCAGGCTCTCGACAAGACAAGACCCCCGTCTTCGGGCGGGGAGTGACTCAGTCGGGGTTCTGTCTTCGGATAGAAACTCGACTGAGAGAAACAGACAAGTACTGTTCCTGAGTCCGCTTTTGCGGAGGCTGGATAAAAACATAAAACATAAACTTGTGTCGCATCCGGTCCACAGTGAGGCGACCGGTAAATACCTGTCACATCAGAGTCAGTCCTAGGCTCTCAACAAGAGAAGAGCCCTATCTTCGAGCAGAGGGCGACAAGACCTCTATAATTGGACGAAGGGTGACTCAGTTGAGGTTCTGTCTTCAGACATAGACTCGGCCGAGAAAAAGACAAGTACCGTACCCGAGCCAGCTTTCGCAGGGGCTGGGTAAATTTTGTCCAGTGGCCCGGGTGGAAACGCTCGGGTTCTCCATAATAACTCCGACCTTGCGTCAAAACTCATCTCAGTGGGGAGAGTAAGTAAATATCTGTCGTATTGGAGTCAGTCTTCAAACTATACAGGCGTTACGGCAATAGCTTAAGTTATAATAAAAACAAAGTTGGAAACGAATCTCAATCTAACATGTTTCACATGTTATTCCAAAATTCGCTTGAAAATGAAACAGGACTAGGGACTTTAATTTAATTCTATAATTGAATTTGAAGTTTTTAGTTTCTGTTTTTGAAACATGGTAATTATTGTGTAGCGATGGAATCATATTTTTAAATTAATAAATTTATAACATATATATATATATAACTCCAAACTAAATACATGGACACCTGCCGGGCAAAGATTACTTTGCGTGGGGTGCCGTTGGACATTAAAGAAGAGCGACTGGGAGCTTTGATCTACTAATTTCGACAGGTCGCAGATGTAACAGCAGCTGCGAGGAAATCAGGCATTGCAACTGAGGACTATGTCTTGCAATTCACTTTGACTCGCAAGAGTTTTATGGACATCCCTAACATTCTAACATGTCGAAGCCGGAACATACTAGTGATAGTGGAAGGACGTGGTCCCCACTGCTGGTCCTGTGGTACCGCAGGGCACGTGACAAGGGTATGCCCCAAGGGGAACCCGACTCCAACAACACCAAAAGCAACAGAAGAAGAAGCACCAAAAGTAGGGAGAAGAAAATTTGCCATGTGAACAGACAGGCGCTTGAGGGGACATTTCCTCCCAGCAGAAGGCTCACTTAAGACCTTTATTTAGTTGTACTACCGTAGATGGCAAGTCTACGGAAGATCCAAGGCAAATAGAAGAGACAAGGAGCATCTAAAGAAAAGCTAGAGCTTTTGCTATCAAGTTATTCCGTAAGAAAATTTTCAAGCTATTATTTCCTCTGTTATGCCTTAGTTTATAAACCTAGATTACACTTTAAATGAGAGATATCAACAGGTTCCATGAAGGCAGCCAGCTGAGAGTAATGAAAACGTTGTGAATTTTGTTCATATTCACATGTTTATATGTGAAGCCATGAGATTCATACTTACATTGATATGCGAAAATATAGATTCATATGGAGTGGTTATCTCGCAAGCCATAGTTGGATCATTGTTGGTTAATCAACAAAATACCTCCACACATACACTTCTATATAATTTCTTTTCCAACGAAAAGAAAGTGGAGTTGGTTTCATTGTTGATAACAGATTGCATATTCTGTTTTTAATAATAGATTTATTGGTGTATGCAACTATATTTCTGTTAAAGATCTTGCCATTAAATGAGTAGCATTCTATATGTAGCTCTATGCCTATGTGCATATAGACACATACCGATCTATATATTCTGCTTATGTTGTAATGTTTGCATAAACTGCCAATGACCTTGTGATTACAAATTTGTTTGTTTATTCATGTGTTTTTCAAAAGAATAATTACTTGTCACGAGGTAATTACTTTTTATGCGATCCACTGCAGTTGGTTTGGTGACTGTTGACATATTCCACCCTCATTGGGCGATGGCGTCGTCGAAATAATGTTAATTATTTAAATATGAATACCGGATCGAGCTTAAATACTAAGTGTTTTTTGTCGACGTTGATGGGAGGTTGTAGTAAGTTTTTGTGGTTCATTTTTGGTGTCAATTTCTGACATGGATTATTCTTAATTTTCTGCATATTTTCTTGATTATTATTCCTTTTGTTATCGATTTACTCACGTTTCGGTCGACATATTCTTCGAAAGCCGATTAAACCAGCAAAGATGGAAGTATTATTTTGAACATGTGAATTTTTTTTACCGAGTTATCACAAGCTAATTTAAGAAATTTCAATTAAGAGAAGCTAACTTTTCATCAAAAATAGCATTAAGTGTGGTAAATTCCGCAGTGCGTTTTCTTTTTCTGACAATGGATGTTCTGACTGAAGTTTGTTGTGGAAGTGTTGAATTTTTTTTTTAACAAATCAGTTTTTGAGTGGTAACCTCTGATAGAGCTGCACTTAACGTTTGATTGCTGAAACAAAGCAGTGCCTGCTGCATCTCTTCTTCTCCTCTCTCTGTCTGATCACAGTAGGGTCTGTTCTTTATCCAACAGGAAAAGAACACCCCGAAAAGTGCCGTGGCGAGAATGTAACAATGCTTCACCTTAAATGGAGGGATGGCTCTGACAATGATCAGTCGAACGGCATATTCTCCTCACATACATTCACGGAAAGAGATGAGAACATTTCAACCATTTTGGTGAGCAACTGATTTTCTATTAAAGAGGTCAAAGGCCTTGGTAAAGTCGATAATGGAAACGTATAAAGATTGCTTCTGTTCTTAGCTCTTCTGTAACTGCATGAATGAAAAATACAGGCAAATCTCTCTACTTTGATGTCATATTGAAACTGTAGAGTGACAAGATCTTGCGCGCTACTCAGAAGCGCCCGAGTAAAAGTCGTACAAATGGTGATATAATTTATTAAATACGTCTTTTTATTTATACATTTTGTGGCACCCGAGAAAATTATGCAATTTATTTCGATACAAATGAAAAAATGGCAGGGGAAGGTTTTTCTTCAAAGATTAAGAATAATAACATTACTACTTCTACTACTACTGCTGCTGCTATTACTACGTCTAGCATCCAAGCCCTTAAAAATGAAATTTCGAATTCATTGATTGATTCGTTTTCTATGGCTTTGTAGGTTATTTAAAGCCATAAAACATTTCTAGATTGTAAGAATGTTTTTGAGATAATAATTTAGTGATACAAGCCTTACTAATTTAATCCATAGCCGGGGGGAAATGATGTGGATTTATCATTCTCAAAGGTATTTGTGCGTAAATGAATATAACGAAGCCAAGTGGAATTCGAACTCGGCTCTCCGATTAACAATTCCAAGCCATTATCCCTTTTACCACCCGCACATCCAAGCTTACAGCACCCGATATGCTCAAGCGGTCACCCATCTACATACTGATCAAGCTCGACGTTGCTTAAATTGGTTGATCGTACGGGAACCAGTGTTTCAACGTGATGTTGCCGTAAACCTTTAGAATTCCGTAATAAACTTGTTCAAATTGATGTCAATAAATCTTTATTAAAATATAGAATAACATTATTTGGTTTCCCTTTTTTTATTAGCTGAAGGGCGTGAAACCATTACCAGAATATCTTGTAGGAAAAAAATGGGATGACAAACTTGAGTTAAAAACCTGATACAAAAAGCAAACAAACAAAAGAGGAAGAAAAATGGAAAAGAAATATTAGACAATTAACAAAGAACCTAATTAAAAGAGAAAATTTTCCGTAAAAATTGGAAAAAAATTAATGAGGTTAAAAAATAGATAATGTGTAACGATGTGGAGAAAAGTAAAAAATCACAATTTCGGAATCAAATCCAATACAAAAGAAATGTTCTGGTCTAAAAAAAAAAAAAAAAACAAAAACAAACAAAAAAAAAAAAAAAACAAAACAAAAAAAAAAAAAAAAAAAAAAAAAAAAACCCACTTTGAGTCTCATTTTAAATCCGGCAACAGAAATAGAAAATATGCAAATATACATTCAATCATTACTTCAAACAACAATGTACCTACTGATGAGGAAATTACGAAAGCTATTTAAAAAAAAAAAGCTAAGGAATAATAAAGCGTCACTTGAAATTGAGGCTGAACCACTGAAAATACTTTCTCCTCGAATTCAATAATATCCTTAAGATGTAAGGGTTTTTGTTGAGAGTGAAAGAAAATGAAAAGACGTTAGTGAGGAGATAGGACAATAAAAGTTCAGGTTTCAGGAAGACAAATGATGGCGATTGACTTTGCATTTAAATTTTTGCAGATCGTAAGCGGCAGGGGAGTAGGAAACCGAAAGAATTCTACAGGCGAAAAAAGAAACTATTAGAATAGAACTTACGGTTTCATCTTAGCTATTTCAACAGTAACACGATGAAACCTAACTGCCAATCTAGTACTACGCTTAAATTCATGAGGAAAGATGATTAGAACAACTGCTATGAAAATACTTATAGAAAAAAACAGAGAAATCACGCCATGGCGAGATGCCAGATCAAGACCGATAAGATTACAGACCCTTTGTATTTTGACGCGATTCCCATAGTAGTAGGAGCACCAGATATGACAGCAATATTCAATGCACGGTAGATGTATAAATCTGCAGGATGGATTCTGACGAGAAAAATTGTCTCGAATTACACAGTGAACCAACTTTCCTAGCAGTAGACGTAGCAATTGATTCAATATAACTATTTCACCTCATATCAGTGGAAAACATGAAGGCGCAATGTGTTGCTCTCTTGTAGTTCAGCATCAACCTTGCATGACACCCGAATTAATATAAAAGGATCTATAAGCGTGACTGTTCATCACGATTTTCATTAAATCTCTTCAAAATTGGTATTAAATTGTGCGAAATCACTCACTCTGTCCATGTGTACAGGCATTTTTCATCCGCTTTTCTAGGGCAAATTGCAGCTTCGACCGTGTCGCTGCTATCACCGTTGGCAATTTACGGTTGCCGAAAAGCGGTTTGCTCGAAGAGATCGCATTTCAACTTTTTCCTCTCTAGGGAATCCTCATGAAATAGATATCAGATTTGTTAAAGATTGAAACAAATCAAATATTCGGTCAGAGACATTATCGCCCTTCAGCTTGCAAAGAAGATCAGCATCCGTCAAACGCCGTCGCCATTATCTAAAGCTACAACTCGTGTCTCGCCATTATCTAAAGCATGATAAGCAAATTCAGTAATAACCATTTGATCTAGAGAAGCGAAATCCATATTTTTTTATCTGAAAGAAAGCCGTGTGAAGTGAGATGTTTAACGAATTCGGAGTTGATTAGAGCCTCTTTTCAGTCTGTTATGTGCCATTCGTGATACACGCGTAGGTGATCATGCATCTTTCGATACATGACTGACGGGGCAGATTTTTTACCCGTAGTTGGCTGCCTTTTCTTTCTGCGGTAGACCAGTTGCCATCCAAGGCCATAGCTGGGGGGGGGGGTAGAAGAGGAGAATTCATACCTTTCCCAAGGATATTCGTATGTAAGTAAATGTAATGGATTCGGTTGGAATTCGAACCCTGCTCTTCGATTTCTCAATCCGAGCAGTTATCCATTACTCCACCTTGCTTCCTCACCTCATCTTTTACTTTTCCAAAAAGAGGTAAATGACTTATAGAATGATAATTCGACTGGTCAGAAGGTTCTTAAAAACAGGAACTATAGAAGATTTCCAGCAAGCTGCAAAGCAAGAAATGGTAAAACTCTTGCTGCTGAGTTTGGAGAGTTCAGAAGCCCATTTCCTTAGATAAATTCCAGGGATACCGCTAAGTCCGCGTGCCTTGCGGGAATCTGGTTTGAAGGTGATAGCCACAATCATGAACGGAGTTATATCACAGTAGATATTTCATTCTAGGTGGGAAACTAGGTAAAGATACACGAGAGTGGAGCTGGAAGATCATTTACGGACAAAGGATTCGACTTTATCAGCCGTAAATGACAATACTTCAGACGGCTTGAAGAGTGGAAGCATTGGGGATTTATACTTGTTTAATATACTCTTACAGTAATCACATGAAACAAACTTGTGAGGAAGTGTCTCATACTAAAAGCGACAACCTCGTTGAGGAGACACACTTATTAAGAGAGGATACAAAGAGGCTGCCATGATCCGAACTATCACGTTGGTATAACCGGAAGAAGTGATTCCTTTGGGCTATAGCGGCTGAACAGGCAGATATGAACAAGGAGAAGAGTGCGATTTCACGAGGTATGAAGGCCTCTGATGTCGGCTTTCACACAGGGAGGAACCGCGGCGGCACGGTTTTTAATAAGGAGATTAAAAATTTCACTCCAAGGGGCAACGCGAAGAAAATCACTGAATAAATCTCAATTAATGAGTTGGCAATAAAATGATGTCATGTGAATAGGATGTTCTTGCCAAATAGACGAGTGACTGTCTCGAGGCTACCCGGAACTATGTGGGCGACGAGGATAGATTTGGTTAGAGCTAAGGGGAGTCGAGGGTGGCCGATAACGACAATTCTCGGGTGGCGAGTGGCTATCCCGTTCGGGCCCGTCCGTGGAGGTGGAAGTGAGTGTGCCAACTGGGAGGTAGTGTGAGGGGAATTAGGATTAGTAGGAAGATACAAGTTACGGTGGTAGGAGGACTGCTGGCGATTGGCTGTAGTAATTATGGATGGGAACCACCGAAATAACACCCCCACCCATCTCCGATATAAGCAAGGGTTTGGGCCGCGAATGATACTCGCAGAGAGTCGAGCAGAGTTGTTGGGAGGTTAGCAGAGTTGTTAGAGAGTTTTGCAGAGTAGCAGGGAGTGACAAGAGAGTCGCAGGGAGTGGCGAACAGCAAAGGCGCAGGGAGTAAGGGGCAGAGCCGCGAACAGCAAAATTGCGGAGAGTAGAGTGAAGTCCCAGAAAGTTCTTGAGACAAGATCGTAGTAGCGGTCGTTAGCAGAGTGTGGAGACCTGATATAAACCAAATGGAAAGCCCTGTTGTATAAGCGAGGGCAGATGCAATATTCGCATAAGAAATTGGAACGACCGAGAGAGATAACCTGATACACAGCCGACTCTCTCGCTCCCCAAATCTCTCCCTCTCCCACACACTCCCTCTCTTTTATGCACTCTCTCTCGCTCCCATACTCTCTCTCTCCCATACTCTCTCTCGCTTCCATACTCTCCCTCTCCATATCTCTCCCACTCTCTTTCTCTTTAATTTTAATTCTGCCTGTATATAAAGACTTGAATTCTATTGAAGCGACTCCGGTCTTTCTTCCACGTTTATTTTATCGTAATTTATTATTATTATTTTTTTTACTAATATACCTTTGTCCCACCCTCAGCACTCTCAACAGACCCTGTCGGTCCAGAATCGATGAAACCACTCTTCAGAAAATTCACAACGTGAGTGGAGAATGGATTGTTGTCACTTAGTCTCGATTGGGAATCTGCCAGTCCTAACGGTCGGACCTGCAAGAGTCGAGCTGGTGATGGGCGTAAGGGGTTTATATATATATATATATATATATATATATATATATATATATATATATATATATATATATACTGTCAGATATTCTATCTAACAAACAACAGTTCTTAGAAGGAGAACGATAAAGAAAGAAGAGATAACAGTTTAATAGGGAAAAGAAGATTAAGATTCTTAAGATTATTAAGAAGATAAGATTGTTTAGCAGTATGCTTTTATCAGTAGTTTATGTGGACCTTGAGAATTAGAAAATAAATAAAATAATAAAAATTTTAATAGATGCATTGTAATAGAAGATACAGCGCTTGAAACAGCAAAAAAAAGTCATGCAAAACTACTCTGGACAATGAAAGGTTTTAAGATAACAGTCATGATAATATGCAAATTTCTAAGTAGGAATTGTTCCATCTTATTGAGTATAAGGTATTTTGCAAGTCGTTGTAGCTGAATTTCTAGACTGCAACCCGTTTCTCACAGACGTAACATTGGAATCCTCTCACTGTTCTATCGCTATTACAATGGAAAGAGCTCGGACGAATTATATTCCTGAGTTCCACCAACATTGACGGCTAAGACCCCCATACGACGCATAATCCGTTGGTGGGATGTAAGTTCCACTCAAGTAATTGCTTCCCACAAACCGCTGCTTTATTTTTTTTTATTACAACAGATTTAATAGGAGAAGCACATAAATCCCCCGAAAACAAATATATAAGTCTCAATGGTCCTCAACATAGTTTCTTTCCTTCTCCATCTTGATAGCTTTCTAAAGCATTTACAGTTTGCTTCATTCAATTCATCATCATTGGAGAAGCGTTATGTTCTGATTGCCTCCTTCATGGCTGTTATCTATGTTATGCATCGCCAGAAGCTTTTTGGTAGCAAGCGTGCATGTGGGTTAGAGAGTCTTTTCTGAGGAGAGGAAGGTAGCCTGTGATCGAGAGATCAGAGGAGGGAATAGACGAGTCAAGGTTGGTCTCACAGAGAGCCAGTATATCCGGGCAGTTTGCAGTAA